TTTGATATTATCGCCACGCTCGTAATGTGAGCGACACAATGACAAGGTGGAACTAATCCAGCCAATCACAGTGCAGATGGTATAAACACTCATCATGCATCTTTATGAACAGACATGAAAGGCCACAAATTAATCAAATCAACTATAAATGTAACAAATGCAAAGATTGTGTATATAATACCACATTTCATTGTACTGTTTAATTACCTCCAACTCTTTCTGCAGTATAGACAGTCCTTGTTGTCCACGTCTTTCAAGCCATTGTTTCTGCCATATTCTCTTTTGTCGTGGTTTCTTCTTTCTTTCGGATAAAAAAAAACTGCACAGACCAATTGAAGGGCCAGTTGATCGTCCATGCTTGACGAAATGGCCTAATCGCGGTAATTTCTCGATAGAATTTATGTGAGAAAACGTATTTTCGCTGATGGTCGGGAACGCCTATTCACTGAATGTTTTGTAGTGTGTGCACCTCGTTAGCATTGTGTTGTGTAGTATGTGCGCAGCTATGACAAGATGACGACAGATGAGAAGAAATCTTGTTGCGTAGTGTGAGCAACACAGTGATTCGGCTAGTCTTTCAATCATGTAGTGTGAGCTTGCCATTAGTCATTTTAAGAGAAATAACATTAGGCCTATGTGCAAACAAATTGCAATGAGGTGTGGATGTTTTGCAACAAGGTGGACACAGTTCTGTTAATAACAGTAGACCTGCTGGTAAAGAAGTGACAGAAAAAAGGGAGCGGTAGAGATATTGGAGAAAACGAAGAAAAGGAAAAGGGAAGTGAAGGTGCAGTTTAAGAGAGAACCTTTAATTATTTTCCACAGCCCCAGACTAAAGATTTAGACCTTTTTATGTGATGGTCATACAAATAATAGGTCTGGCCGTGTTTCAGAATTTGTTGTGGGATGGCCTGGATGAGTGTGAGATTTCCCGGCCTGAAATTTTGTCCCAGTCCGCCCCTGGAATGAATACTAGTCAGGTTAATCACTATCACACTAATTAGATTGTAAGAGCAGACTGATTGCTATAAAAGGAGGGAAGAAGCGCTTCCAATCATTGGGTGCGTCTTAATCAGTTCGTTCAGTAGTCAGGGCACTGATCAGGGAGTCGGCCATTTTAAGGGCTGTCTCAATCGCTGTACGTAGTCACGTCACTGGAATTCGAGTGATCACGGTCCCAACGTGCAGTGAGTCAGGGAACTTACCAGTGACTGAATTAGTGTACACAATCTACTGATTCACAAGCTCGGGAGCTGATTGATACGCACCCATTGTGTTCTTGTTGGCAATGGTTATAATATTAACTCATTATATATTTTTTGCCAATTAAAGCCTTTAAAACTTATGATATGCTTATCATTGTTTTCAGTATACCATAGAAACATGTGGAAAAATAATCTACAAATACTGAAGCAGCAAACTTTACAAAACACAAAATTAATGTCACTGCCAAAACTTTTGGCCACGACTGTACGTCTGATATTTTTGCCATTAACTTTTGCAAACGTATGATGATAAAAGTATAAAACTCCAACAATAACTGGGAAAGCCAAGAACGTGCATGTTAAATACCTTCTTACAAGGGGTAGGCAACGTCGGTCCTGGAGTGCCGATGTCCTGCAGAGTTTAGCTCCAACCCTGAAAAAAAAACCTCACTTGTCTGTAGCCTTAGTAATCCTGAAGTCCTTGATTAGCTTGTTCAGGTGTGTTTGATTAGGGTTAGAGCTAAACTCTGCAGGACAGCGGCACTCCAGGACCGACGTTGCCTATCCCTGACGATTTGTGTAATTCGAGCGCCCTCTGCTGTTCATCAAGCAAACTGCATCCTGACTTTTTACTACGTTGTCGTCAAATTACGCTTGCGCTCTGCCCACGTTAAAGCTGCTATCATGAGACGAACCAGGAACTTCCTTCTTCAGTCTGCGAATGATAAACACCACGTACTGCAAACATTCACGTTACCCAAGAATCTTCTCACCACATACACCCAAGCAAACTTATAGGCTACATTACAAGCTGGTCTTTCCAGTTAATCAAAAGTGTTCAAAGGAATCTAAATAATTATTAATGTCGTGTATGCCCCACTTGGCATCTAATGCATTAAACCACGTCAGCAGTGACGTTCTGATGCACTTCAATGCATGTGAATTAATGTTTCTTTTTTTTTTCAGAAAAAATACTGACTTTGCATTGACCTCACTGACAAAATAAATCTGGATAAAGTGTAAAAAAAAATTACCCACACATTTATGTATGTATGTATCATCTCATGCACACCAACACACACGGAAAGGGATCAAAATTAATGCAAAATAATTAAAAAGGCATGTCTGTTTCCAACCCAGTTTGTCATTCACCTGCCAACATCATGGCATTATACAGTGGAAGAGACTCTGTACACGCTATCTGAAACAGACATATTTACACAAGCTGACATTCCCTCAAGCTGTATCCGGACCAGAATATACTTTTCATTTCATTAGAGTGTGTTTGTAATATATGAAAAGAAAATGGCAACAAAACTTTTCTGTAGACAGCCGGTTCCCCCTTATGCATTCATACAATTCATTCAATCATATATTCTTTCATATTATTTCTCTCAGCAGGCTGCCTTCAGTTATGTTTTCACACAAAACTTAAGTAGTTAATATGTATAAGCAATAATGCACAGTTAGAATATAATGGCCAATTGTTTAGCAACAAATAATCAATAAACTTAACTCTGCTTGCCTCATTAAATATTTAAGTGCTTTGTCACAGACACATTAATGTGATGCATTTCTTTTAGTTTGGGAGAAATACATGTTGAATTGTGGTGTAAAACACTTTAATTGGAGTGGAGAATAAATATACCGTTTTTAACCATTTAAATCTTACTATTACGGTCCAGAAAGTCTGGCCAGGACAAAATGGATGGCACATTCAGCAATATATATATATATATATATGATGCATAAAGCAAGACAAGGCCGTTACTTAAAACACGTCACATAAATGTGCAAAGCGAAACCTAGAAACCTGAATAGCAAGTATCATGGTCTGGATGCCTAGATACACACCCATGTCTGTAACATACTCAAGCACTCTAAACTTACAAAAGACTTGTAAAACGTTTCACAACAGACTAGAAATGAAAGGTATGTCATTTTGTCTGCTTCTATTCTGAACAGTTTGAACTTTCTCTATCCAGCAAACTGGAAAACAACACCACGCTACCTGCTTATATCCTCCATTAACTTTTCAGGGGATGTGTCACATGTGTCTCCTGTTACATATAGTTCACAGTGATTCACAATGCAAAGTCCCAGGTGGGGCTAGATAAACAACAGCCAACAATTAAAGGACTCACACGAGACTCTCCTTTTTGTTTACAATAGCTGTAAATGTTGCTTACCATATCAAATTATCACATACATATTGCCATTCCAGACATATAAAAGTATACAGTGGAACAAATTGTCACCAGGCCTGTAGTGCTTTACAGACATAACAGGGCACATCTGGACAAAGTCATAGCACTATACTATGCACCTTGTACTCTAAGCTTAGTTGTCAGTTACTTATAATTCCGGAAATGACCACCTGAGATTAAAAAAAAAAATCTGTCATCATTTCCTCACTCTCTAGTAAGAGACTGACAGCCTCAGTCACTACTCACGGCATCTCTTTTTCTCTAATAAGAATGAATGGTGACTGAGGCTGTCATTCTGCTTGATATCACCCTTTGTTTTCCATAGAACAAAGAAGGTCATACGCCTTTGAAACAGCATAAAGGTGAGTAAACATGACAGATTTTTGATTTCTAGCTGAACTCTCCGTATATACCATCGCGTCGCGTATGTTGAGACAATTCTTCACGTTACCTGACCGGTTATGCCTGTAATGATGGCCACTTTCCTCTTCGCCTTGCCGTCTCCGTTCACATCGCCACTGGCCGCCGCCGCCGCTGCACATTGAGCCATTTTCTGGAGCTGGTTTCGGTTCGGAGTGTGTCTGTGGGGTCTGGATCCACCGTGCAAGATCGTTTGTCATGAACGGATGCAAACACATCCGAAACTCCAGCTGCTTGAGCGACACATCAGGAACCTGCACTCAGCAGCCAATCACAGAGCACAGCGCCGGTGACGTGCGCACCACAGAATAAAGAGGAGCGAAATCCTGATGGCTTGGGGTGTAAATGTGTCACAGCGCCCACTAAAGGAATCAAGATTCAGGAGGAATTAAACACCACTTTTTAGGTTCTCACTTTATTAGCCTATTTATTACATATCTAATAATAATTGTTACAATTATATAATATGCCTACATTATATAATACATTCTAGGCCTAAATCACTGCTGGAATAACGGCTTCAACTAGTCTAGGCTGTTTTTCTGGTCTTTGCTGGTATCTCAGTCTAGTCAAGCTGGTCTGTTAGCTGGTTTTAGTCGCTAAAGGGTTTTTTTAGGGTCACATCGTTCATACATTATTGGTTGTGCCACAACCGTAGATCTAAAAAAAAAAAAAGCCATTGCTCCGAGAAGAGATAGAAGGAATGAACAAGACAATCAAATGTTTGTTCAAAATATATTTTAATTTAGATAATATTTAAAGTTCTAACGCACATACACCACATAAGGCACTTACAAGTACAACAATATATCTTTTAAATAATGTACAAGTACTAATATATGAAAGTACTGTATTTTCCCCGTAGTTTATGAGCTATTATACTGTATTTCAGCTTTCCTCAATCCAGTCATCGCATATATAGAAACTGAAATCAAAACATAAAAATAAATAAATCTTTTATTAACGCTTAGACATCATGAAGTGATAGTCCTGGTTTTTCAGCTTTCACTTAGAATCCTAGTGTCTAAAAACACTACTTTGTTAGCCATCAGCTGACGTACAATATATTTAACTCCATTTACTATTTTGTGAAAGCATTTCAAGTAAACATCAGAAAACAGTATCTTTATATATAGAACCACACAAAACAATTGTAGGTAGTGTTCTGTTTTTTTTTTTTTTTCGTTTGCCTTCATGGAAGGTGAGATGTCGACTACAAAGAGAGAGAGTAAGCAAGACCAAAAACAGCCAGTCTTGAAGCTAGTGTCCCTGTCTCAAATTTCCAACTTAAAAAAAATTGAAAACAAAAATACAATGAAGTGTGAGATCAGCAGCATTACCTAAGCATTTTGCACAATACATTTGCCCTATGGGAAACCCTCTAAATAACATTCTAAATGACATTATTGAATAAAATGTTGTAAGTGAGAGCTGTATTTGGGTCATGGTTATTTGTATCAGATAACAGTAGCTACATGCACACATACAAACTCCAAACTCTTACATTTAGACTTCCTGAAAATCAGCAGAAATTACATAACATTCAAAAAAGGATAGATTATATGCCAGATTTTGACATTAAGAGTGCTAGAGTTTCAAGTGTAAAATACAGTACCGTTTCCTGTGTGAATTCTAATGCCTTCACAAACATTACGTGAATGAAATGTTACCATAAACCAGTGATGTACAGAATATTACCATAAGACTCAATATATTTGTGCGTATAGAGTATGAATGATGATTTCTGTTGCACTCTTAGTCATTCACATACTTCCTCCAGTCCTGGTCTATTATAAAGTACACATACAAGACCAACTTACTGTAGAATTAACTGTATGTAGTAATTTTTCATAAGACGACAGCCACCAGACAGTTAAAAAAAAACACTTAAACCAGGACTGAAGCACAGGGCAAGTTTGTCATAGAGCCATTAAATGGTTAACATTTTACAAAATGGTGAAATATTCTTGTATGTGGAGAGCTGTACTTTTAATGTGTTGTATGCTGTTTTAACTTAAGGTTGAGGTAAGTCAGTAACAGACATTGTACAGTTCAGTATTTGACTGTAATATTAAACAGATGTTGTGTAGTTGTTCAGGTACAACAGTATTGGTCCAGTGTGTCACCAAGGCATCAGGAGAGCCAATGATCACTTCTGCAGAAAACATTAAATTAAGGAGACTACAACTGAATGTTTATTACTTTTTTAACATTTAAAGGGACAGTCCACCAAAAAAAATAAAATTCTGTCATCATTTACCCTTCCTTATGACTTCCTTTCTTCTGCAGAAACACAAAAGAAGATATTTTAAAGAATGTTGGAGCCCAAAAAACAATGGGTGAGACAGGAAACTGTTATCAACAGTCTTCAAAATATCTTCTTTTGTGTTCTGAAGTAGAAAGGCATACAGGATCGGAACGACATGAGTGTGAGTAAACAATGACAGAATTGTCATTTTTGGGTGAACTATCCATAGATATTTCAGGTTATGCATCTTACCTGTTTATCCCTCTGGAGGAGGGGCATGAGAAGAGTGACACTTGTTTTTCTGTGAGAGAAACAGGTTCATTAATTATAATTTGCATTTTAATATATATATAATATATAATTTAAATTATAATATATATATAATTTTAATTTGCATTATTTCACTACTGCCATAAACTCAAAGCTGTTATTAACCTTATGGTGTAGACGGTAGTGAAGCGCTCGGTCTGAAAGCCATGGGTGTTTCAGGGACTGGGATGCACTCATTCTCCAACTGCACAAAAAAAAGAGAGACTTGCATTAAAACACAAACACCCAGGTAACTTTTCAGAATTAAAAATAGAGGATTTGTCAGACTTAGCCAACTTCTGGGGACACACAAACCTTTTGCTCTTCACAAGCAGGCGTGAGATGAAGTCTTTGGCCTCCTCAGAGATGTCGGCAAACTCTGCTTCTTCAAAACTCCACTGACATGCCAGGATGTTATTTAGTGTCTCATTATCATCCTCACCCAGGAACGGAGACAAGCCACTGAGCCTACACACGCAAACACAAGTAAGTTTTACAAATCTCGCTCCTTTTGGTATTATATGATTGTTCATTGGTGTCTATGGACTCACAGCATGTAAGTGATGACACCTAAACTCCACATATCAGTTGGGAATGAGACAAATTCATAGTTGATAACTTCAGGAGCCAGGAACTCGGGTGTGCCAAAGTTCACCCTCAACTTTTCCCTGGGTTTATATCTGAAAGGAAGATGAAGAACAAATTGGCGTGATAAAAGCAGTAGATCCATATGACACAGTGGCTACATTTACCAGGTCCAGAAAATATGATCATATTACCCCAATTTTACAGTCTCTGCACTGGCTACCTATTAAGTTCCGTATCAGTTACAAAATATTATTACTTGCCTATAAGGCCCTTAATGGGTTAGCTCCTGCGTACCTAACTAGTCTTCTACCACGCTACAATCCATCACGCTCCCTAAGGTCGCAAAACTCTGGACTTTTGGTAGTACCTAGGATAGCAAAGTCCACTAAAGGAGGTAGAGCTTTTTCGCATTTGGCTCCCAAACTCTGGAATAGCCTTCCTGATAATGTTCGGGGTTCAGACACACTCTCTCTGTTTAAATCTAGATTAAAGACACATCTCTTTGGCCAAGCATTCAAATAATGCATCTCATAATCTTGTACTGCAGTTATATCTGATCAAATGCACATTATTATTCTTTAGCTTGGATTAAACAAATAAATTTTGGTTGGAACAGCAGCTACACTAATTATGTCTCTATTTGTTTCTCTGTTTTTGCTTCAGCCTGGATCCAGAACACCTGAGAAGAGATGATGCCAACCCCTCAGAGGACCTCAGATGATGCCAACCCTGAAACAACATAAACTA